TTCTACAGAATATCTCTTTGGATTTGAGACTTTAGTCTTTGCAACTTTACAGATCTTCTTTATGCACCAAGAGCTTGTAACACTCCAAAGAGAAAGGAAACATTTCAAATGCATCATATGACCCCTTTAAGACTTTGGAAACTTTACATCCTACAAAATGTTCTTTATAGTGGAAAAAGAGTTCTTTAGATTTTGTTTACTCTAAGAAAACTTTAGATGCTCTTTACACTAAGAAAACTGTTCACTGTGAAGTTCTTTGGGGAACCAAAAACGGTGGGCTAAAATCAAGGGTTAACGGAGTCTGTGTTGCCAAAAATAAATAATCGGCATCATTTTTTTAGTGATGAAAGTTGGAAACAAAATATGTGTGTGTGTGTCTATGCCCTGAGGATCCAGACGTCCAGGATCAAACGATGCTTGTTTTGGAAACAGAGGGAAGCACTACCTAAATGCTGAGTGTGGAGAAAAACAGCAGAGAGGGAGGTGGATAAGGGAAGAAAAAAAAGGATGAGAGCCCAAAGGATCTGGTGGAGGAAATGGCTCCTGCTCATTATGTGTGCTGCTGGAGAACAGCATGCTGGGAATCGGATGGCAGTAATGCATGCGTGTGTGTGTGTGTGTGTGTGTGTGTGTGTGTAGCAGTTCTTAAATGAGTGTTGACGTGTGGTACAGGGATGGTGGCGTTCTCGTTTAGGAGAGAGAAAATGGAACAGCTCGTAAAAAAGCTTTTTGATGTTTAGCCAGAGGCGTGTGCTGATGTGTGTGTGTGTTTAAGTTTCAAGACAAAACTGATGGAAAACTTGTGTTTTTATTCACATGATTTAACCCCATAAAGCATACTGTATCATATTTGATAATCAAATTTCAAAGGTCTCTAAATTATCAACAGGATCAAAACTTGAAACAACCTGTTGTACACAATCTACTACATGCATTCTGTCGTCTGATTTATAATTTATACATTTTAAGCAAGTAAAAGGCTTTATAGGATTATTTTAAAAACATCCCCTTTCCAAGCCGTGGTTCATGTGTCTTTTTGCAGTGAAATCCTTACTGATTTTTATAAAATAAATGCAAGATTAACTCTTACTGAATATTGTTAGTAATATTTCAGGATGAACACTTACTGGACTAAAGCAATTTAGGCTTACTTGATTTTCCATACATTTTTTTTTTTAGAAAAATAATTTTAGAATATGTATTAAATATGATACTTGAGGAACACTCATTTGTCATCATTATATTGCATCGCATTATATGTTTCACCCCCTCAATAAAAATTACAGAGCTTCAATCATTAAACTAAGGCTTTAAATATCATCTTACTAAGACATATCATTGAGACATATAGACAGACAACTGATATGTATGTGCTTTTTATGTAAGTATTCTGCTATACTGTTATAAAGATCTCATTGATTTACATTACAAGCTACAAGAATTTCATCTTACTTTTGGCCATATAAATATCAGCATTTGCAACAAATTGCATATTTCTGCTCAGTTTCAGTCCCTGAAAACATTTGAGATGTTTTTTCCTCTGAGTGTGCGTGCCATATTATCCTACATCATGCTATTTAAGCCATAAAAGACTGATACTATAAAATATAATACTCAACAAAAAAAAAACATATGCAAACTTTTTGTTTTTTAATACTTTGTCTAAAGGTTAAATAAACTTTTCCTTTAAAAAATTTTAAATGTTTGCTGAAAGTCAAGTAAATGTCATCGGTAAGAAGTTTTTTTTCTCTCTCTCTCTTCTAAATTGCTTATGCTTCGTATTAAATGGACAGTTCACTTAATGAAATTCAAATTCTGTCATCATTTACTCACCCTCATGTCGTTCCAAACCTGTATGGATTTTCTGTATTCTGTGGAACACAAAAGCAGATATTCTGAGAAATATCTTAGTGTTATTTTGCCCATACAGTGAAAATCAAAGGGGTCCAATGTTTGTCTTGGACTCACCTGTCAGTCAATCATTAAACTATATACCTTGTGTTTAATTTGAACTTTAAGGCTTTAATAGTAAAATTTGGAAAAGTCCAAACATGACTGACCGCTTAGTCACACCTTCACAGAATTACACTGGGTTGTAATGTCTCGCCTGCAGATATTAAGGTTTTCAGGTCCAGAGAGGAAATCTGGGTCTTTTTAAAGGGAGACAGACAACTGTGTCATCTGACACATCAGCACCTGGCCACAGCTCTACAGACAGACAGACGGGGCCCCAGCTCGGCCTGTGGATGATAGAGCAGGATGGTTTCATTGCTGCATTCTTATGGAGACTGGTTTATTTTCACTGGAAACATAATTGTCTGTGGCAAGAGTTTTGGATTCGTTTTTACCCAAAACGCTGCCAAAAGTCCATCCTGTACCATTGTCGCCCTCTATAGGTGACTTAAAATCAACACACCTCTCCCTTTAAGAATGAATAGCATTATGCAAGTGCAGTGTAACTGAATCCACCCTTACAGAAGTCATTCAGTTGGGTATGTATATTTTGCTATACTGTATGTAAATACACAGACCAAAGGAGCTTATTACATCACAGAAATGGGCCGAGTTGACATTACAATTGCTTTGTAAATAAAGTAAAACAGAGAATAAATAATGAAAACACTGCAAGAGATGAATTTGATTACATCTTTTAGGCATTTAAAAATATGTATATATATATATATATATATATATATATATATATATATATATATATATATATAATTTCTGAATTCTGGGTGGCAGTTGAGAGAGCAGAGTTAGTGTGACGATTATTACGATTACAGAGATACTGTAACGCTATTCAAACATATATATACACACACACACACACACACACCATGTAACACACATATATATTTTAATATATGTATACACCATACATTTGGTATGCTTGAAATCTGTTACAGGTACCGGACAGTCAGGAAGACTGTAAGCAGTAATCAACTTGAGATTAAATGAGAGAGAGAGAGACAAGAGTTAGTTGTTTCCTTAACAGTCCTCTTTGTTGTCTTTTAATACACATACACATTTGTATTTCAGAGTCAGTAAGACACTTTGAATCACAAAATGATTCATAAACATGTTGGAAAAAAAGAATACACACTGTATAGCTTACTCACAACTGGCCTGATTTCAGGTAAGTATCTCAGGTAAACAACTCAAGTGAGTATTTCGGGTAAGTGATACATGTGTAAACTTTTCTATGACATACTGTAAGTGTCTTAAAAGTATTAATAAAATAATCAATTGAAACAAATTATTTGGCCATTAAAACATGTAAATTACAGTTTGGTATGACATTTAATCAATTTAACTAACCTTGAGATTAAACGAGAGAGAGAGACAAGAGTTAGTTGTTTCCTTAACGGTCCTCTTTGTTGTCTGAGGATGCGCTGCAATCGTCACTCTACTCTCTCAACTGCCACCCAGAATTCAGAAAATGCAGCTGAACGGTTCAGTACAAACTCATCATATATTTAAGTCATTAAAATAAAACGTGTATATATATATATATATATACACATGTAAATAGAAATGAACATATGTAAATAAAAAATGAAATGTATACAAATAATTTAATTTGTGACCCAAACTATATGTAGGGTGGTCACATGCACTCTCCCCAACAAAGAAGCTAATGCCTCCAAATATTCTTTAAATAACCATATTAACTTGTTGGTTCCTTTTATCTCTTAATACGTATATATGGGGAAATTGAATGGTGTCATTGTCTGGTATGGTATGAAAGGAGCAGGTATGTAGAATGACGGTATATTTTAGTTTTGTGTATAACTGCTTGCTGGCATGGCTTGTGTCCCATAAAACCCTACACACACACACACACACACATATATATATATATATATATATAAAAAGAAAGAAAGACTAATGTTATTTTTATTAAAATGAAGGAGCACCATGAATTCAAAGAATAATTTAAAAGACTAACTTTTAACACTGCTTCATCACAACGCTATTCAAACATACATATATATATATATATACACATATACATATATATATATACACACACACACACATATACACACACCATGTAACCACACATATATCTTAATATATGTATACACCATTAATAATAATTATTAATGATAATTTTAATAGAACATTCTCTCGATATATAAAATATAAACATTAATATTAATGTAATAATAATAATACAGTACTATTTATTAAGATATACATATGAATAGATTTTTTTAATGTTTCTAGAAAATTCTAAATATTCTATCTATTCGCATTTCATATATTGTTTTTGACAAAAGTAGAATAATACAAAAATCTATTATTTAATATTAGATTAATATTTTACTTTCTAAATGAGCTAAATTGTCATCTATTGAAGATACTACCTGTTGCAGTAACACCACAATAATAATGATAAAATCATAAATAAAAGTGACTAATAATCACTGAAACATATGAATGAATTATGGTACAGCACAGCCACATGTAGCCCAATTAAAGTAACTAAAATATTAAATAATTTTTTGACAGATGTATCACCGAATCATCCTTCATCAACTCAATGTCTTCTAAATTGTGTCACCTCAGAAAGACTAATGTTGTTGTTATTAAAATGAAGGAGCACCATGAATTCAAAGAAGAATTTAAAAGACTAACTTTTAACACTGCTTCATCACAACGCTATTCAAACAGCAGCTGTTGTGTTCTGACTCTGCTGGTTATTCATCGGCAAACCGTGGGAGAATCTGATACAGACACAGCTGCTCTGTGGCCTCAACTCCTTCTTATGAACCATTAAAATACAACAAACTTCAGAAAACATTTGACTTAAATAACAGCTTTAAGTACAAATTAGTAGATTTTAAATGATCATTTCCACATACTAAGCTTTTTATCCAGTTCCCCTGAAACAAAACCCAACAAATCGACCAATCAGACTCCGCCACATGGTGGTGGATACCTATCAGCAACCCATATCTACTGTATTGACCCTCATTTCACCAAAGGACCTCAATCTTTCTGGATACGGTGAGGTCTCGCATCCTAACCGCAGTATGTGGCTCACACTAGCGGCCCTTTTGACTCTGTGTGCCACGGGGAGAAGTGCTGAAAATGTTTCAGAAAGCAGAGCTGTGAAGGAAAAGCATGTTATAGCCAGAGGAAAACTTATGGTGAGTGCTCCGTACTTGCTTGGATGCTTGATATATGTAAGGAGTTTTACTTTAAAAAGTCACTTTCATATATTTGTTTTAAAATGTTTTGGGCAATACAAATACATACACTACCAATCAAGAGTTTGAGGTTGGTAAGATTTAAATTATTATTATTTATTTTATTTTAAAGAAGTCTCTTATGCTCTCCAATGTTGCATTTATTTGATCAAAATATAAAAACGGCAATATTGTGAAGTATTAATGAAATTTAAAATAACTGTTATATATATATATATATATATATATATATATAAATATAAATATATTTTAAAATGTAACTGATTATTTTACAACATCATTTCTCCAGTCTTCAGTGATCCTTCAGAAATCTTTCTAATATGCTGATTTGATACAGAACCATTTCTTATTATCAATTTTGAAAACAGCTGTGCTGCTTAATATATTTGTGAAAACCATATAAATTTTTTTTTTCAGGGTTCTTTGATGAATATTAAAGGGGTCCTATTATGCTCTTTTACAAAGTCTTGATTTTGTTTTGGGGGTGTACTAGAACAGGCTCTCAAACTAGGTTGTTCGAAAAACACATGATTTTTTCACATATTTTACATTATTACAACACCTCTCTCCTCAGTCTGGCTTGAACGGCTCGAATAGTTCCTGTATCAAATGAAGGCCCACCTTCTGAAATACGAAATGTGCTGTGATTGGTTAGCTGGGCCAGTGTGTGCTGTGATTGGTTAGCTGGGCCAGTGTGTGCTGTGATTGGTTAGCTGGGCCAGTGTGTGTTGTGATTGGTTAGCTGGGCCAGTGTGTGCTGTGATTGGTTAGCTGGGCCAGTGTGTGCTGTGATTGGCAAATCACAGCTGATCGGGAAATGTCATGCCACTCTAAGTTCGTCTGCCTTGGGAAAGCTAGAGTGTCTCCGACATAGTGATAACACTCGTTGCCTTCTCTAGTGCAGCTCAACCAGGTCTCGTCCTATTCGTCGGTATTTGTGATATCACAAATCCCGGAAAATATGCGTTTTAGTCCAAACGAGTCGTTCGTTGTAGTTTTTGAAAAGTGATTTCTGTTAAATAAAATATCTCCTTTTGAATTGGACTTTGAGCTTTGTAACTTTGCAGATCTTTTGTATGCTCAAACAGCAACATTACATAACTAAACTAAAGTTGAAAAAGTATAATAGCACCCCTTTAAGTTCAAAAGAACACAATTTATTCAAAATAAAATAGGCTTATTTATAATGTTTTATTGATCTATTTAAAATGAAAGCCTGTGTGAAAACCTTCCATAATTTAATGCATCCTTGCTGAATAAAATAATCGAATAAATATATATATATCTTACTAACCCCAAACTTTTGAACATGGATCAATTAAAAACTCAAAATGCTGTATAGGCTACAATGTCAAGACTTCAAAGAACATTTGATGACAAAGAATAGAGTTACTTGAGTTACAACACTTGTTTTCAATGTTTTGCAATTGTTAATCTCTCTTCAATCCCTTCCCAGGCTCCTAGTGTAGTGGGATGATCCATAAAGAAGATGCCAGAGCTCTACAATTTCCTGATGGAGCGATGGGCATTGTAGTATCCTGACATTGCCATTGAAATTCACTCTCATTTTCTTGTAATTCCAGTGTTTTCAGTTTAGTGCTACACGCTTTTTAAAGAATGTTTAAAAATATTTTCCATATTTTTTCCAAATGGCTCTGGTAAAGACAGCATTTGACAGGGACGTAAAAGTTAATGAAATCTTTACAGGCCCAGAGTGCCGTTTTCTGTGCTGCCATATGTTTAAACGCTTAGAGGCTGGTGTCATGCGCTTCATGGCCTCAGAGGTCATTTGTCTGGTGCTGTTAACCTTAACCTGCTGTTTAAAGTCACAACCTGGAGTACGATTCGGGAGAGGATAAAAACCCACGCCTGATCTTCTACAACGAGAAGGACGAGGAAGTGAAGGTAAGGACAATGTAATTAATTGACACGCCAATGTCAGTTTTTTCAGCATTTGCCTTTTTTCCACTTAGCACTGGAAATTGTAGATGTTTACTCCATTTGTTACTTGCTGAAAAACTTGTACTTTTTAAAATATTATTCATGCTCATGCCTATGCAAACAAGTGTCACAATCTGTCACAAGAAATGATTGGTTAGCTGGGCCAGTGTGTGTTGTGATTGGTTAGCTGGGCCAGTGTGTGCTGTGATTGGTTAGCTGGGCCAGTGTGTGCTGTGATTGGCAAATCACAGCTGATCGGGAAATGTCATGCCACTCTAAGTTCGTCTGCCTTGGGAAAGCTAGAGTGTCTCCGACATAGTGATAACACTCGTTGCCTTCTCTAGTGCAGCTCAACCAGGTCTCGTCCTATTCGTCGGTATTTGTGATATCACAAATCCCGGAAAATATGCGTTTTAGTCCAAACGAGTCGTTCGTTGTAGTTTTTGAAAAGTGATTTCTGTTAAATAAAATATCTCCTTTTGAATTGGACTTTGAGCTTTGTAACTTTGCAGATCTTTTGTATGCTCAAACAGCAACATTACATAACTAAACTAAAGTTGAAAAAGTATAATAGCACCCCTTTAAGTTCAAAAGAACACAATTTATTCAAAATAAAATAGGCTTATTTATAATGTTTTATTGATCTATTTAAAATGAAAGCCTGTGTGAAAACCTTCCATAATTTAATGCATCCTTGCTGAATAAAATAATCGAATAAATATATATATATCTTACTAACCCCAAACTTTTGAACATGGATCAATTAAAAACTCAAAATGCTGTATAGGCTACAATGTCAAGACTTCAAAGAACATTTGATGACAAAGAATAGAGTTACTTGAGTTACAACACTTGTTTTCAATGTTTTGCAATTGTTAATCTCTCTTCAATCCCTTCCCAGGCTCCTAGTGTAGTGGGATGATCCATAAAGAAGATGCCAGAGCTCTACAATTTCCTGATGGAGCGATGGGCATTGTAGTATCCTGACATTGCCATTGAAATTCACTCTCATTTTCTTGTAATTCCAGTGTTTTCAGTTTAGTGCTACACGCTTTTTAAAGAATGTTTAAAAATATTTTCCATATTTTTTCCAAATGGCTCTGGTAAAGACAGCATTTGACAGGGACGTAAAAGTTAATGAAATCTTTACAGGCCCAGAGTGCCGTTTTCTGTGCTGCCATATGTTTAAACGCTTAGAGGCTGGTGTCATGCGCTTCATGGCCTCAGAGGTCATTTGTCTGGTGCTGTTAACCTTAACCTGCTGTTTAAAGTCACAACCTGGAGTACGATTCGGGAGAGGATAAAAACCCACGCCTGATCTTCTACAACGAGAAGGACGAGGAAGTGAAGGTAAGGACAATGTAATTAATTGACACGCCAATGTCAGTTTTTTCAGCATTTGCCTTTTTTCCACTTAGCACTGGAAATTGTAGATGTTTACTCCATTTGTTACTTGCTGAAAAACTTGTACTTTTTAAAATATTATTCATGCTCATGCCTATGCAAACAAGTGTCACAATCTGTCACAAGAAAACCAATGAGATGATGTTTTTTTTTATTAATATTTTATTAAAAACAATATATATATTTAAAAAAACACCTTAAATGTAAACTAAACATAAGAATAGAATTTTTAAAGTAAAAACAGAATGAACAAAACTATACAAATGTGAAAATAAAAGTGCAAAAAAAAACTAAATAGATAGATAGATAGATAGATAGATAGAAACACACACAATAAAACAAAAGTATATAATATAAAGAATATAAAGAGAATAACTTATAAAAACAGAACAAATATAATAAACTATAAAAATGTGAAACATAAAAATATAAAGTGCAAAAACTATAAAAATGGCAAAACGACAAAAGAGTAAAACAAAAACAATCAGAAAAAAAAATCAGAAAATAAACATAAGTAAAACTAAAATGACTTCAAATATAAAATGTCAAACAAATTCAAAATTTAAATAACATAAAATAATAAAATATAAAAAAACTATAAAGATGTAAAAACTAACCATAAAAATGAGATCAAGTATCTTTCACTTCTCTGACCTCAGGTTGTTCCTGTGAGGAAGATGAAGGCAGATGAGATCAGCAGCTTGCTGGATTCTCTGGGTTTCTATAAGAGGTCACAGAAAGGCGAGGAGGTCCCTGAGGAGTTCAAACATTTCCCTTTAAAGGCGCCCCGGGACGAACTGTGACCCCCCGCTGGTCAGCGCCTGGACTGCAGCCTGCCGCCAATGACGTCCAGTGTCTCAAAGCTCCGAGACAGCCGGACTCTGGACCGACGCACAGAAGGCTGGAGGCAGTCCTAATCACACACACACACATTTACAATAAACTCCTTACATCTTTGGCTTGTGTGTCGTTGTTTTGTTTTGTTGTGTTTTATTAAAATGTAGGAGTCTACTTGATTTTCACACAACAAACCCACTGAAAGATGGCCACCAAAGAAAACACATGGCAAGTCGTTGAAGCTGTCAGAATAAATGAGAAGCCTAATTGTTGAGTTTTGCATTTCTAAACAAAATAGCTCCTCAAAATGACTGTAGCTGTCAAGAATAAACAAATTAATAATAATTGTATTATATTCCAAACGTGGACCATACAAAACAGCTCTCAAACTTTCACAATGCTAATCAGAGTTTCTTTCAATATATAACAACATCAGTTAATTACTCTAAAAACGCAAATTTCTTTGGGGCACAAACTTAAAAATAAATTGTAAACATAAAAAATAAATAATGAATATTGTTTTTATTTATATTTAAAATTACTTACATTTTCGTATACATTTTCTAAAATTATATATATACAGTGGGGCAAAAAAGTATTTAGTCAGCCACCAATTGTGCAAGTTCTCCCACTTAAAAAGATGAGAGAGGCCTGTAATTTTCATCATAGGTATACCTCAACTATGAGAGACAAAATGAGAAAAAAAAATCCAGAAAATCACATTGTAGGATTTTTAAAGAATTAATTGGTAAATTCCTTGGTAAAATAGGTATTTGGTCACCTACAAACAAGCAAGATTTCTGGCTCTCACAGACCTGTAACTTCTTCTTTAAGAGGCTCCTCTGTCCTCTACTGGTTACCTGTATTAATGGCATCTGTTTGAACTCGTTATCAGTATAAAAGACACCTGTCCACAACCTCAAACAGTCACGCTCCAAACTCCACCATGGCCAAGACCAAAGAGCTGTCAAAGGAAAACATTACTGCTCTAGAGGAGATCTGCATGGAGGAATGGGCCAAAATACCAGCAACCGTGTGTGAAAACCTTGTGAAGACTTACAGAAAACGTTTGACCTCTGTCATTGCCAACAAAGGGTATATAACAAAGTATTGAGATGAAATTTTGTTATTGACCAAATACTTATTTTCCACCATAATTTGCAAATAAATTCTTTAAAAATCCTACAATGTGATTTTCTGGATTTTTTTTTCTCATTTTGTCTCTCATAGTTGAGGTATACCTATGATGAAAATTACAGGCCTCTCTCATCTTTTTAAGTGGGAGAACTTGCACAATTGGTGGCTGACTAAATACTTTTTTTCCCCACTGTATATATATATAATATAAATATAGATATATTTGAAACTATTAAAAGTTAAACTTTAAGGGGGTATCCACATATAAAGTATATTTTCTGCTGACAGTGGTGACTGAAACCTAGTTTTTTTTTCTTCATTAAATTGAATCCACTTATTGTATATATTTTATTGTATAAATATTATACTAGTTTTAAGCATAAACCTCACTAAATTGGTTAAATCTTATGTTTAAAAAAATACAAGTAATAATTTGCTAATTGGATATAAAAATAAACTTCAAAATATTCCAAATATATACTCTGGGGGGAGGGGGGTATGTTTTTGTGGACAGATGTTTAAATATTTTTGCTGGAAAACAAGTGAAATACTGAATATGAAAATTATTAGTTTTTTTATGATTTACAATTGATTTTTTATTTGCTGTGTGGTAACAACAACTGAAGTTCCTATGGTTACCATGGTGAGGGAGTGACATCTTAATCTGCTGTCAGACTCCATCTGTTTCCTCAGATTTAATCTGATTAGTGCTTGGAAGACTCCAATTAATCTCACCCACACAAACCGAAGTAGAGAAGTGTGGATGAGCGTTTCATGTGGTCTCCAGCATGCCTGTGTTCTACACGCCGATCCCTCAGAACCTGAGAGTGGGTCTGGCTAACGTCAGCGGCTCAGTGTTTATAAATAACAGGACGCGAGACAGCGGAGATTTCAGGGACCCCTATCAGGATCATGAAGGTGAGACGTCTGCCAAACACAATGCAAATGACTCTAGAGCCTGCCTAGATTATACGTGACCCTGGACCACAAAACCAGACATAAGGGTCAATTTTTCGAAATTGAGATGTATGCATCATCTGAAAGCTGAATAAATAAGATTTCCATTGATGTATGGTTTGTTAGGATAGGACAATATTTGGAGATACAACTATTTGAAAATCTGGAATCTGAGGGTGCAAAAAAAATCTAAATATTGAGAAAATCGTCTTTAAAGTTGTCCAAATGAAGTTCTTAGCAATGCATATTACTAATCAATAATTAAGTTTTAATACATTTACAGTAGGAAATTTACAAAATATCTTCATGGAACATGATCTTTACTTAACAGCCTATTGATTTTTGGCTTAAAAGAAAAATCTATCATTTTGACCCATACAATGTATTTTTGGCTATACCCCAGCGACTTAAGACTGGTTTTGTGGTCAAGGGTCACATTTATGTAACTGAATTAAAAAAGTTATGACCAGTCTTGAAGAAAACAATTGGATGACTAACTTTTAAGACTAAGTAGTTTATACAACTGGCCACTGGTTAAGTGATCTTACCAACCGTGTTGATCTGTCACCCTGTGCTGTGCTGTGCTGCTGTCTAGTGTGTGCTGAGGTGGCGTCTCATCTCCCACTGCAGATGCTGCTCTACTTCAACATCTTCTACTTCCCCTTCTGGTGGATCTCAGAGGTGCTAATGCTGCACTTAAAGGTGTAGTCAATTATAAATCAAAGATATTTTCAATAAACTAATCATTACTTCATAGGGGTCATATTATGAGAAGTTCCTTGATCTTATGAAATAAAACTGTATAATACAATATGAAAACATTCACATTTTTTCTGAACCAGAGTTATTTTAGCATCATTTATACAGTATTATAGCTTTTGTTTAACATTTCGAATTAGATTGTATTTTTATGAAATGTTTTAGTAATTCTGGTGTCTTTATTTTTTTTTTACAAAAATGTCTATATGTGACCTCTTAAGTCGCAGGGGTATATTTGTAGCAATAGCCAAAGAAAAAAACATTGTATGAGTCTTTGTATGGGTTTTTCTTTTAAAAAGTAAAGATCATGTTCCATGAAGATATTTTGTAAATTTCCTACCGTAAATACATCAAAACTTAATTTTTGATTAGTAACATGCATAGCTAAGAACTTCATTTGGACAACTTTAAAGGAGATTTTGTCAATATTTTGATTTTTTTTTTTGCACCCTCAGATTCCAGATTTTCAAATAGTTGTATCTCGGCCAAATATTGTCCTAACCTAACATCAATGAAAAAACTTCTTTATTCAGCTTTCAGGTTATGTATAAATCTATATTTTGAAAAACTGACACTTAAGACCAGGTCCCGGGTCACATATAGTTATTAATTTTATTTAATCTTTCGTTTTAGTTATTTTATCACTTCAAGTAAAACTAAATGAACATTTGAAATGTTACCTTGTAAACTATAGCTGAAAAAAATATACGTTTTTTCATTATATTTCATTTCAGTTAACATTTAATTCATTATTTTATGTTTTTAGTTTATGAAAACATA